TTTTTTTTTAATATAACAATGATAGACTTTCTGGTGTTGAACCATCCTTGCATTCCTGACAAAAAACTGTATGTTCATGATGCAAATTTTTATAGGTTTATTCATTCATTCATTCATTCGTTTATTTATTTTTATAGAGAAAGCATGCATGAGTGGGGGAGGAGGGGCACAGTGAGAGGGAGAGAGAGAATCTTAAGCAGGCTCCACACTGGGCTCAATCTCACAACCCTGAGATCAGGACCTGAGCCAAAGCCAAGAGTCAGATAATGCTTAACCAACTGAGCCACACAGGTGCCATCATAATGAAATTTTTAAACATGCTTTTGAATTTTTATATCTATGCTTATTTTTATATATTACATATACACATCTTTATATATTACATATACATATCTTTATATATAAAATATATATATTTTTATACATCTTTTTATTTTGACCCATTTTAACAGAGGCCTATCTTACTAGTATTTCCACAGAATAACCTTTTGGCTTTGTTTTCCAATAATCTTTGTCATTCATCCCTTCCCTTATTTTAAATACTTCCTTCTAATCTTCTTGGGCTTATTCTATTGGCCTTTTTCTAAATTTTGAGTTAAATGTTCAGCTTAAGTTGTTTTCCTTTCAAGCCCATCTTGCTTTCTGACAAATATCTTTAAATCAACAAGTTGTCCAAGTACTATTTTAGCTGTGCCTCACACATTTTGACAAAACATTTTTATTCAGTTCTAAGTATTTTGTAACTTTTTTAAAGATGATTTTTAACTCAAAAGATTTTATATTATGTTAGAGTCTGGGCATTTAGTAGTTTTTTTGCGATCTTTTTCAAGTTTTCTAATTGTATTGCATTTTAACTTTATAACTCAAGCTGCCAATGACCTCACCACCAGCATGCACACACATACACACCCAGAAAAGCTGATGACATAATCAGTTTACCCAGAGATATTAGAAAGAAATTTGGGCTGCACTGTGAAAAGCATCATTATACTTATAGTAGATGTTCAATAAATACTTATTAATGATTAAACAAACATAGTATACATGTATAATTTAAAGGGTTAGAAATTAATGTGAGTGTATTTGCATGAGGTACTACTGAGTAATGAGATTGATTTTTAAACCATGGAAGAAAACCAGTGTCATTACTTCACTCATACCTCATAAAGTTCAGATCCATCTGACAAAGTGAATTATTAATTATTGATAGGATTATTATCTAGGTTGGCACTATTTAAATCTTTGACTTTGCCATTTCCCTTCTGTTGTTAACTTTGTAAATACTTTTCTTAGGACATATGAGATGTTGTTTTTTAGTAATCTATGTTTGCCTTGTACATAGTTGAGTTTAATAATTATTTATGATTGTTTATTGAATGAATAACAACATAGTCAAGAAATAAGAGTTAAATTGTTCAGCAACAAACCAGCCACTTTAGCAGATGCTCATTGTACCCCACCTACAAATCCTAAGTCATTTCTGTTTCTAAGCATAACAGCCCTACCTACCACCCTCCTGTATCTCATTGCCTGAGGACTTCCTCCAACCACTGGAGTTCATCTTGCCTACACATGAAGCTAGCCAGAAGTTCCAGGGAATTAATATTCTCTACCCCAGAAGCAACTCTTTACTGATTTTTAAATTTATGAATAAAATTTATGGGTTTATGGAAAAAATACAGCTTTCTTACCCCTATAGTGGGCTAATTCTAAGGTGTGTATTCTAGGTATCATGAGGGAATTTGTAGACTAGGATGTTTTGTGAAGGCAGCAGAGGTAGATAAAGGTGTAATCTGAGTCTTGAAGAAATAAACCAGATTTCTTATGAGTGGGAGTTTTAAACCATGCTAAATTGACATGCAGATAACACTCTTTAAACCTAAAATAAATATCTGACTAGGAAGTAGTAGAGAAAGTAGTTAAAATGGGCCCACTCTGGAGTCAGAAAGTCTGACTCTATCATTTACCAGCTGCCATAGAAAAGTTACTTAATCTCTCTGAACCTTTATTATTTTTTAACTTATTTTTTATTTTTAAAAAGTATTTTATTTTAAGTAAGGTCTATACCCAATGTTGGCTCAAACTCACAACCCCAAGATCAAGAGTTGCATGCTTCATCAACTGAGCCAGCCAGGTGCCCTGAGCCTTACTTAACTTACCTGTAAATGTATTTACTTTTTAAGGATATCAGGATTTGATGAGTGACTATGTGCAAAGAACTTAGAATAATCCATGGTGTATCTGTGTCCTCAAGAAATTTAAGATTATTTTTATTATGAAAGAGTAAGTTTTTTTTTTTCTTTCCTTCTACTCCACTATAATGGTTTAATAAACTTTTTAAGAGCTAGAAAAGTACAGGGGATAAGTTGGCAAGTGCCTAGAACCTTCACAGTGGCTATAGTTGCCTGGCTTTTCTATACACTTGTGTAGTGATGACTGGGGAGATTTGTCAATATAAATATATTTTCTTTGGACTCTTTATAGCCTCCTTTGGTAATCTTGGCCACTTCTGTGGCTTCAGTTACCATACATATTTTGACAACTCCCAATATAAATTCTTCCACTCACTGACCTTTAGATTTGTATATCAAACTGCTGAGTAGATATCTCTTGGCATCTCCAATTCAACAGATCCAAAGCAGAATTCATTATCACACATGCAGATTTTTCCCCTCATATACTCAATCTTAGTTGTGAAGTAAGGACTATGGTTGATTCAGTTGACTAATTGGCTGGGCTGGTCCTTATTTTCCCATAAATCCAATACAAATTAGAAAGGATGTCTTTACAAAATAGAGAACTATTTTTCAGTCAAGGATAAATAAAAAAACATGCTTCCTATCTAGAATATTCAATATACTTACAGAGATTACCTATTTAAAATTGCATCACCATCCACCTAGCTACCAAAGCCAGGAACTTAAAGGTCATCTTCGATTTTTTCAGTTCCCTTGCTATCTCATTACCCACAGTCTTGTTTTATAACAGTTAGCCTTGCTTTCACATTTTTAATCTATTACAAACCTTCAGATACATGTTGAGTTTCTCTTTCCCTCCTTCTCAGCTTCAGGTATTCATTCAAATGCTTCCCAGCCAATCTTTTGACCTTTGGCTTTGGCTCAAACCCCTCCCCCACATTGTTGCCTTATAACTTAATTGGAATGCAAATCTGATCATGTTTCTACCCTTGACCAACTGGCTGGAATGATTCCTCATGGCCTGCAGTATATATTAAAGGCCCCATGTGACCCTGTCCTCACCACTCCAGCAGGCCTTTGCAGCCTCTGTTGACTTCACACTTCCTGTTTCAGTAATACTGAACTATTTTATGTATTTTTCTTTTGGGTCATACTGTTTGATGACTTGGTAATTTTGCTTGCCCCTGTAATGATCTCCACATAATTCCCACTCATCCTTCAAGGATCTTCTCAGCTAGCATCTCCCTAGAAAGCCCTCCCTGACTCATTAGGCCAGGGTAGGTGACAGCTCCCTGGTCTCCCATGGGTCCCTGGTACACACCTCACCTAGTTACTTATTGCACTGCATTGACAAAACATACCCCCTCCCACCAACTGGGTGGCAAATGTCTCCAAGTCAGGGTTTTTCTGTCTTGTATCCCCAGCACTATACTGGAATCATCCACCATAACTATTTAGTGAATGAGGTTGAGGAAAATGTGTACTGAAGATGTCCAAGCAGGATCAGAGGTTCTCAATACTGGCTGCATGTAGGAACTATCTGGAGACCTTTTAAAAATCCACATACCAATGACCTAAACCAGTTCGTTTAAATCGGAAGCTCTGGGAGGGAGGCCCGGGCATTTAGACATCTTAAACTCATGTGATAATGTGCAGGTGAAACTAGTAATTGGTTGGTTGGATGACCACTAGACAAGGATTGGAGAATGATATCCTAGAGAGAAATGGAACTCCTGATCCTTAAGGCACCTTTCATTTATGAAATTCAGTGAGATGATTGCTGGAATTACACTTAATATTGGCTAATTTCCTCAAAAATATTCCCCATACATTATATAGCTTGGCTTGTTTCACTTTGTATGCAGGTAACTTAGTTGGTCAGCTAGGAACCAAACAGTGGGTCATTCCAGGGAATTCACGTTCTTGAAAGAACACTCAGCACAAATGCACATGGATTTGGTTAAAATCATGTAAAAATAATAGTAGCAAAGGGAGGAAAAGGAGGAGTGGGTTTTAGATGCTTTGTACATTCATGTCATGATATTAGAGAAAGAAGTCTCTAAACACTTCCTGGTACTTTTGAAATGCCATATTTGTAATCTTCAAACTTATTCTTGTCTTTTTCTTGTTTGTGGTGATGATGATGCTGGGCAGTGGATTTTCTCTCTTTCATAATATGTGTGTCTACTGTGACAGTGAGGCAGTGCCACATGTTGACTTTAGAAGTTTTCAAACTACGAGGACTTGGAATAAGTTCTACAAGGAATAAGGCCGGTTTAGATATTAATGTTTGTGGGAGGACTAAACTACTCAAGTTTATAATTTTCCATGAAGAGTGTTTTCTAGGAAAAGAAATAAGTTTTGAAGATCAACATAAATACCAGAAAAAAAAGGTGTAGGAACTTCTTTCAAAATGATCATCAAGGCTTTAGGAGAAAGATACCCTAGAGTCTTGAAATTTCAAAACTAATATTCAAACTCTCAATCTCTTTGCTTAAAAAAGTTTAATAAGCTGTAAAATAAATACACTTCCATTAAATATTAAATAAATTATTTACAACTTGAAAAAATACTTTTTTATCTCCATGCAACTTTATGTACAGAAATAAGAACTTAGCATAAAAAGTGACAACTGAAAGTTTAAAACCAACAGAACAAAAAGGTTCTGGTTTTTTTATGATCCACCAAAAAGAGGAACCAACTCATCACTCGTGGTTGTAACTTGGCAGTGACTCTGATCCGATACCCTAGTCAAAAGGAAAATAAAAATATTAGAGATAAAGCTCGATTTCAATATAGTTTTAAGAAAATATTAAAAAAATCAGGAATCATAATTTCTGTCAATTTAGAATGTCTTCTAAAAAATGCTAAAAGCTCTTCAGAGATAAACTACCACTTCGACCTGAGTCCGTCTTTCACACAAGCTTTGGTTGGATGCCTACTCAGGTAGAGAGCTGCCTATGCTGAAACCTGGTTTGTCAAATTCCACTTAATAAAAAACAACAACACTCATGGGAAGCAGTTTTCCTAACCAAATCTATGCAGTGAACATAATTAAAAAGAAAGATTAAATGGCTCGGTGTATTTGTGATATACAGTTAATTTAGGATAATTAGTACCGAGGGCATAATAATAGTAGCTACCAGCTAATGGCAGCCACTATGTGCCAACACAGCATATTCCTTTTACAAAAATCATCTCAGATCTTCCTTGAGAAATCTCAGTTGCACTAAATAACCAAAAATCTACCTTTCTTCATGTCAGTGGTCTTAGCTTCAGCACATTAAGCCAAAATTATAATAAATGTTGATGCAATAAGTACTGAACACAGCATTGCATCAGTAATTATCCATTTCAGGAGTTACTGAGCCAATTCTGTAACAGGCTCAGAATGAAATACTTGTACTTAACCAAAGCTAAATGGAGTGTTTCTCCAAGCATCTGTGGTGTTCTATAAAAAGGGAGATAGTGGATTTAGTAGATTTAGGGTTTGGCTTAAGAATGTGCATACATAACCAGCATCTCAAGAAATTCTTAAACCCACTGAAGGTAGCGAATCAATGACTTAAGGATGGGACATCTTTCCTGAATGTCTAAGGAAATGGACCTCTTCCTCTGACCAACTTTAAATGTGTCCTTGATCTTGTTGTCTGCTTTTCCTCTGGAAGTTTGCTTCATTAGCTGTCCATTTTAGTTATTAATTAAATATTCCTCTCCATAGCTCCTTACTTTTCCCTACAATAAGCTTAGCTCTGCCTCTTTACCAAAAAAACAAAAAACCAAAAAACAAAACCTTAAAAATAAGAACTAAAATACATCCCTTACAAACTATCTCTCAATTTTTACCCCTTTTCCCTTCCTACTTTGCTTTTTTTGGAGGTGGGGAAGGTACAGAGGGAGAATTTTAAGCAGGCTCCATGCCCAGTGTGGAGTTCAACGAGGGGCTCAATCTCACAGCCCTGAGATCATGACGTGAGTGGATGGAGATCGAGAGTCAGATGCTTAACCAACTGAGTAATCCAGGCGCCCACCCCCTTCCTTTCTTTAAAAGGATGTTCAGCCTGCTCCCTCCACTTCCTCAGAGTTGTAGTCACACACCTGACTTGGCTCCCCACCATGTGAGCTCAACCTTTATTCCAACTTTCTCTCCTCAACACCCATTTGAACTAAGCCATTTGTCCGAAGTTTCTAAAGTGACCCAGCCCATTTTACAGTATTAATCTTCCTCTTCCTTCATAACTGCTTGTCCCAATCTCATCAGTCCTTGGAGGTTCAGTGAACCTTCCAATGCCACCCTATATATGACATCCTTTCCAGCTCCCTACACATGATCCACAGGACTTCCTCTCCTTCACTGGAAACTCCTCATACTCCTTTTATATGACACATATTTTTTACTCGCCCTAGCATTCTGATTCCTTATACTGTTTTCTATCTACTAAATGCTAACTTCTCTGAGAAGAGGGTTTATGTCTGCCTCATCTTTACATCCTTTGTAGTAGTCCTTTCTCTCTGTTGAACTCCATCTCATGCTCAAAGATTAAGACTTCAACATAGCCAATGTTCATAGTGTATTCATAATTAAGAACTATTACTTCACATGAGATAACAGATGTTATATTTTTCAAAATTATAAGATATCATCTATAGTTATCTTTTAAAACTCAAACCTGTCATATCATCTTCAGTTACGCTATGACATGCACATTTCCATTTTCTTGTCGAAGTTTCTTTCGTTCTTCAACTTCTCCTTCATATTCCCTGAAGTATCGTTTTCGAAGCCTTGAGAAAACAAGATATTCCACGGTCATCAAAGTTCTATTCATCTATAGACTGACTGGAGTTTTCATGAGTACAGGGAATTCCTTTTTGTGAGTCCTGATAGGCTATTACACTGTATTCTATTCCAAATCAAAACTTACAGCTTGCTAAAAAATATTACTACCATTCTTTTTAAGGGGATGTTCGTGGTGACTTTATATAAACATATTCCCAGATTACTGAGATTTAAATAGATACCCCTTGAGACACAAACTTTCAGAAGGCATGGAACACATTTATACGTGTGGGTTTTTATAGTTGACACTCAATGTTACATTAGTTTCAGATGTATATTATAACAATTCAATAAATCTATACATTATACTATACTCACCACAAGTGTAGCTACCATCTGTCACCATACAACACCATTACAATATCATTATTATATTCCCTATACTGTTCTTTTTATTCCCATGACTTATCCATTCCATAACTGGAAGCCTGTATCTCCCACTCCCCTTCAACCATTTTGCCCATCCTCCCACCCTCTCCCCTCTGACAACCATCATTTTGTTCTGTGTGTTTATGGGTCTATTTCTGCTTTTTGTTTGTTTTTTTTACACATTTGTTTTGTTTTTCAGATTCCACATATAAGTGAAATCATATGGTATGTTTCTTTGTCTGACTAATTTCCCTTAGCATAATACCCTCTAGATTCATTCATGTTGTTGCAAATGGCAAAACCTCATTCTTTCCTTTTTTCCTCAACCCTTAGCCCAGGTGTATGTACAGTTAGAGGAAGAAGAAGATGGTATAGTTTTATCACAAAGGACTTTACATTTGTATCAACTAATTTAAATGATCAGAATTTTTTCACAGAAGCTTATAAAACAAGTTGGGTTTTCTTTATTTCTATATATAATAAATATGTCCTTTTGGTTTTATTCATTGTTACTCTCTAGTAAAATTCAATCATTTAAAAATGTCTTGGTGTCATACAAGAAATTATATTTTTAATAGGTCTCTAATCTATCTACCAAACATTACTCCTAAAATCATAAGATCTTTGTCATGAGGTTTGAGGAAAAAAAATCAATTATGGAAAAGACAGCAAAATGCAGCTTTGGCTGCTGTTTATGTGTCAAACACAAGAATATGATAGAAAAGGAGAAAAGTCACTGCTTAGTTTTAAGAGTGCCAACATGACAAAAAGTTTTTCCATGCCTTTCTGAAGGATAATTAAATATTTCACCCTGAATGATCCCAAGTTTGAATAATTATTTCAAAACATCATCCGGAACTGGCTATTTTTTTCCTTCTATCCTTCTATGTCAAACAATCATGATTCGTCTGGCTTGAGGTATTTGCATATCTGGCTTGAGGTATTAACAGATCAAAATAATTTCCAGGGTGTGCAAAACAAATTTAAACCACACATCAAACTCTATGTGCATCATAAAACAGTTTTTTTTTAAATGTTCCTTTTTATCATTGTCTGATCTGCATTTAAAATAATAGTAAACAATGGCAGAAGATAACCCCTTGTTTCCTGAATGGCAGGAGTGGTAGATCATGCACACAATCCAGTTGTTAAAGTAATTTACCAAGACCTAAAATTAGAATAATGAGTCTATTGCTTTTCCCAAGCTCGAGTAGCACATGAGTCATTACAGAGCCATTCACACCCTCCCCCAACTTCCTTAATTCACTGACTTCTGTTTGACAGACAATGCCATTTTGACATACCCACCAGTGCCTACTACCAGGAACAGTCTACTTCTAACATTCATTGGTCATGAAGTGAAGTGTGGTGATCTGTTATTGTGAGGACAGGACAGATGCTGCAGGAATAGAACAGTAATGGAATTGTCCCTGCTTCTTACGCCATGCCATATGGAGGAAAATTTTGTTTTGTTTTGTTTTGTTTTGTTTTAGTAATTGAGTTCCCGTATCACCTTTGACAATTATAAAATTGGCATAAGCTCTAGGTAAATCAGTACCATGCTGTGATATCTAACTTAGAATGTTGCATTTTACTAGAAGCAGAGGATAGAGCTTTTCTTGGCTACTGGTTTGAAGCTCTTTGTGATTTATTTATTTATTTATTTATTTATTTTTATTTTAGTGCCAAAGCAGACTCTCTAACAACCTGCTGTGAACCAGGCCTTAATTAGCCTCCTCTGGGAGCCTTCCTTATGCTTAAAGATGTTCAGAGTCGGTACCAACACTCTGGGATTTGCAGGTAGCCATGAGTGGAGATATGACATGAAAGAAAGCCATCGATTTTTAAGTTCAAAAAATGTCTATAGGGTGTTTGAAAAACAGCCTTACATATTAAGTTTCCGTGGTGGCCAAAGTAATATGATTTTTGACTAGAATCTGTGATCTTTGTCAATGAAGTGTAAAGATATAAGCAAAGATCACATGCCACTGATAGAATAAGTCATCTAAAATAGGATATAGGACATTGGGATAGGAGTATTGAAAAAAAAATCCACCTGGCATTATTTTAGTGCGAATGTGTAGGTTATGCAGTACTTACTGGATTGTGATGACAACAGCAATGGCTGTGAAGCTCACCGCAGACACAAAGGCAGCTATGGAGGCTAAAGCAATTTTTGATAAATCACTGTCAACCATGCTGTGAGTCTTCATGGACTTTTCCCCGCACCGTTCACCAAAGTAATCCTGATGGCATCTGTAAACAGCCCACATTCAAAAACTACAGTAATAACTGAAAACGGTCCATATATTTTAAGTTTACTTTCCAGGTCATCAATAGGCATTTAGTTGTAACACTCAAAAAAAAAAAAAAAAAAAAAAAAAGTCATGCTATCTATTTGTATTTCAAAATCATGAGACACAATGCACTCAAGCCAAAGATCTATTAGTATAAGAACAAGTTGAGATTAGTTTGGGTGTGATATTCCAAGAAGACACGCCTTTTCATTCTTTGTGCTCCTTTTATGACCAGCTGATGAGTTCAGTGACTTGTTATGCAGCTAATACATTCCACTATCATTTCATGTGTTAGTGGCTTTGAGGGGGAAGGAGGATTATGTGAAGAGTACATTTAGGCTTTTTTTTTTAAACGGTTTGTAAATATGTTATCATGAATATATTTATACCAGGGATCAGCAAACTATAGCCCATAGGTCAATTCTGGCCATTTGCCAGGTTTTTTACAGTTGCAAACCAACGATAGTTTTTACATTTTTAAATGGTTACATTTTACTTGGTTCTATAAGTATATACATAAGCCTGATCAAGGAAGCCTGAAGTATTTTTCAGCTGGTCCTTTAAGAAAAATGTTACAGACACTTGGTTTATATGTAGGAAAAATAAATGGCTTTCTGCATCAAGGAGTTTCAGATGTGGTGTTATAAATACAGATTTCCATGTAATTTAGGAAGACTTACTTGCATGTTACAGCTTCCAGGTGCTCTATGTATTTGCATTCTCCATGAATACAGAAATTCTGGAATTCTGCATCACACGGATTTTTCTTCTTTCTGTTTCTTCTATTTTTTCCACTTTTGCCTCCTTTTTTCTTTCTTTTGGGTTTATCTGAAGTCTTTTCACTTTCTGTTTTGTTTTTCATGGGCTTAACTACCTGTTCAACTGAAAAAAAAAAAGATTTATCGACAACAATCTCTCTTCATCTTTAAAATTGTTCTGGAAACGTAAGAGAAAGAAGTCTTAGCAGTGAGAGCTCATGGGGACAATGACCATACTTTTCTTATTATTCAACACAATTCATATATAATAATTGGTTAAAGAGAATATCTATATGGTGTGGCACTTAACCATCTGAGCCTCCTTGTTATTTTATTAGCTTAGAAATGTATTTTGAATTTTTTTGTACCGCTCTTATTATTATTGATAATACTATTACCTGTCTAAAAAAATCCATGAAATATCTTACACATTTCTTGAGCATTAATCTGATTAAAGCCAGGTCACAGGTGAATGTATTGCTATACAACTGATATGGAAGACACTGGAGTTGAGTGAAGACAAGTAACATGTCCAAGGACATGCGGCTAGAATATGACAGTGCTGGGGTTTCAAAGCCTGTCATTCCCACGCTGTGTTTTCTCTTGGATAGGTCAATGCCACAGATTAAACTGAGACTATAGTATATTTGTTGATTTTACTTACTCATTTCAGTCTTGTGATCACTACCATAATTAGGCATTACTGTGTATTACTTGAGAGTGGGAAAAATCTGAGAATTACACATTAGAATTAATCAACTTCTCCAACTCCCAGATGACAATGGGTTATAATTAGTTCCATGGAGCTAATTTTTGTGGTCAATCTGTTTGAAAAATAAGAATTGGAAATATTTGTACGTGATGCTTCAGAGACTCACTCATCTTAACTCCAGGTCTACAGAAGCATCAGTTCCGTGTTAAAACTATGCAGGGTATAGTATACCCACAGGCTAAATATAGGAAGGAGTTTTTACATTGGAGCTGTGCATTTTGTTATACTAATACCTGAACAGCCTTCTCTAAGCAAGTATTTAGTAAACAGAGTCCAGGGCAAAGAGGAAAATACCACAGTATCATAATACCATTAGTCATAATGGTCCTGCATAATGGTCCATTAAACAGAAAATATTAGAAATATAGGGAAGGGTATCAAAGATAGAACCCTGTGATTAAGGAAGCAACAAATAAATATTATGAGTATTTCAGCAGGTTATTATAACATTAATAATAGTCAAATTAGGAGCAATGTTTAACCAGTTACACAATTTTTCTATTGAAACTTTGGTGGTAAAAAATACCGTGAGTTAGAGTCAGTTCCCCAATAGAAACGTTTTAAATGCATAGTACTGCACATTATCAGATATATTACAAATTGCAGACAGAGACAAATCGTCACTATGCTGAAGAGCTCTAACACCCATCAGCCCCCTGGGCTCCACAGCCTTTCCAAGGAGTTCAACCACTGGTTTCACTATTTCATCATGCACAAGTCAGTTTCACCACTAACAACTGATTTGGCCTTTTCAAATGTTAACAACTTGAAACCTCTTCGGGAGAACAGTTTCTAATCTTTTCTCCAAAAATAAGAAGTATATGAGGATCTCTTCCCCACCTTACATAAAAGCACAAGTTACTAAACAAAGAGAATGAAGTAGCGTGCTCTCTGAAGCTTTTCCCACCTGCTGCTCAACCCTGTCACTGTCCCTGTGCTATCACCTTCTGTCCCTTCTTCAGGTCTGGGAGCCAGAGGGGGAGAAGTCAGGGAAACTAGGTCAGGAGAGAAGGGGCATTACATCCTGCCTCCATAATGAATGTTCCTAGGATATTTAGAGCCGATTTACTAATGACCTGATCATCCCCGAAACTTCAAAGTAATAGGAGGGTAATGAACAATACTTATATCTTACTTTGTCCTCTTCACCTTAAGCAAATTTTTTTTTAAAAGATCGGATAACAGCACTAGAGAACAAAACTATGGGTCACTATTATTTAACTAACACATGGGATTTGGGGTTAAATCATGATTTTAGCCATTTGAAATCCATGCATATTTGTCCTTCTTTAATATTTCCAGAAGGTTGTACTATTATTGCTGCTTCTGCTGCTGCTGCTTCTGTTATTGTTGTTTTAGAATCACCAGTTTTTCAGCACCTGGTACTTAAAGGCTAAAGTCCAACTGCTCCTTTTCCCATTACTTTCTGTTCCCTTATTTGTTTTAAAATGCGGGTATTTCAAGAAGCATGGCAGTGCGGAATGGATGTAAGAGCTGAGGACTGGCGGATGTCTACGCCTGGCCCGTCGCTCAGCGTGGGGGTCATGTGGTCCCGTGGGAAAGAGCAGAGGATGCGGAGTCCAACACTGGCGTTCTCATTCTGGCTCAACTGCTTGCTGGCTGTGGAACCTGGGGCAAAACAACCTTGCACTTCAGTTATCACATCTGTAAAATGATAACAATCCCCACTTGTGAAGTAAACTTAATAGACATAAAACATTTGTTAGCGCTCTGGACATATCAGATGTGCCCACACAAAGCTCTTTGGTCTCAGGCTGTAGCTTACCCACGGGGTATGCAACAGACATACACACAAGAAAACCACCCAAAGATGCAGGGACTGGCTTTGCTCATGCAAACACACATCTGAGAGGCTGTGTTTTGGCCTTCTCCTCCACTCACCTCGGACTGAATCATCTACGATATAGCTAGATATTTGAGGTTCGTTATCATACTCTTCTGCATAGTCATAGTCGATCCCCGAGGACAGTTCCCTGCTAGAAGGCGTTTCACTCACAGGGGAAATCTCACTTCCTGAGGACATCCCACTTTTCTGGGTAACCTCCAATCCGTCAGCGCTGTGGTCCCCAGAAAATGGCTCCCCTTTCCCAGAGTCGGTGCCATTGACATCCAATCCAGCAGCATAATGGGCTGTGGGAGAAAGAACAACGGAAGAAAAGAGAAGGTAAAGCCGAGTGGCCTTCTCACCAGGCAGCTGTGTTCAGGAGAAATGTTTGTCTTCTGATATCAAAGCAGTTATTGCACATGTGCTATTGTTTGGGATTGAGTCACTCATGAAAGCATCTTCACATTTTGCCAACAAGCAAACTCAGCTGTTCCAATTTACAGAGCTGCTTTCATCAAGGTTTTCTGTTTCACAGATGATCTACGCTACTTTTCACATCAAATAACACTGCCAGATAGGCACGTTACTCTAATTACTTAACAGGTAATTTATATTGTCTGGATATTCCCATCACCTCACATGCCAGGGGCATTCGTGTTTGCCAGAATGTCCCATTGGGATGCACAGGCTCTGGATCGAAATATCAGACTTTCTCGACATGTGTTCACATTTTTTAAAGGATCACGTATATGAATGTAAAACCGCATAAATGATATTTGATAATAATGACTCTCATTGTCACTATTTCATTATCCTTGTTCCTACATAGGGGAAGAAACTGGGGCCTGGGTGAGATTTGGGGCCTCAAGCTGCAAGCCCCTGCTCTGTCTTGTTGGTCTCACTAAGACAGCATCAGCGTGGAGCTATGGCTTCTCCCTGGAACGTCGTGCGTGAGGCCCTCTAGGAAGGTCAAGATAGAATCACTAGACGGAGGAGATGGAGAATTTAGGCAGGAGGCAAGCGCTCTGGGTCCAGGACTTAACTACTCTTAAGATCTGCGGAAGTCACTTCACCTGCCTGAACTCGGTTTCTCTATCTGCAGAAGGAAGGATCTGGATCCCAGGATCTTTGAGGTCTCCTGCTGCTGGACTAAAGCAAAACTTCGGAGACTGTCCCGCACCCTCTTCCCGGCCTGGAACGTCAGAGACACCTGCGCGCTCTTCTCCTCCTCCCCGGTAGCGAGCTCCGGGACGGAGCTACTCGGACGCCTCTCTCGGGAAGGGTGGTGCCCGCCGTGGGACAAGCGCCGGCGGGAGACTCAGAGCCGGGATGTCCTTACCTGAGCCGAGCAGCAGGAGCGACAGCACCACGGGCGCCGGCGGCGGCAGCGGGGCTCTCATTGGTCCCTGGGCGCGGCGGCGTCGCGGTCTCTGGGGCAACTCGGCAGGGAGTTGCAGCTGGAAAAGGAGGTGGTGGAAGAGGGAGGGGACGATGGGGAGTGTGCGGCGGTGCTCGCTGCCCGGCCGGGCTCGGGAGCTTGGGGGAGCCCCTAGAGCTCGCCTCTGGGTCCCTCGGCTCCGACTCGGGCGCAGGCACAAGGTGTGCGAGCATTCCGGAGGCGCGGCGCGCACCTGCCGCTTTATAGGCCGGGCGGGGACCCAGCCGTGTCCGTGACGTCACGGCCGCCGCTGTGGGTGGAGGCGGGAGGCCGCCCCGGGAGAGGTTACTACCCCAAAACCACGCGCGGAGAGCAGCCCCACCTCCCCGGGGCGCGGAGGGCCGTCGGGAGGAAATGGAAATTAAACCCTAGCTGCCGGCTGAGAACTCGGCCGCTCCATGGTCCACGGTGGGAGTTCATTCCAGAGCTCGTACCTGAGCGCGCCAAGTCCCGCTCTTTCCAACCATCTGAAAACCCTCCGTGTACGCTTTGGTTGATCTGAAAACTACCAGTTACGGGATTAATTAGAAAAGTTCCATATTAAGGTGCAAAAGTCCTTTAAGACCAATAGTGACTTAACAATGCATGGAGAACCCGACGTCTTTAACAAGGATAATGTAGTTCATTAAATGACAAGAGAGAGCGCCTCCTAATGAGGAACTGGGTTATTTATGACTGGGCCTTGTCTCAACCACGAGCGCTTTTCTACCCACTACTGGCCAAGTGGCCAGAATGTCAAATCCCTTCCCCTCCGTTTATTGTGTCCCAGCGCCCTCATCAAAATTCGGATTTACTGACCATGTATTATTGCCAAACTATACACTAAAATATTACCTGCATCATCTCACTCAGCAGCCTTGCTGGTTAAGTATCATTTCACTATATTCCAAGGAAGACTTGACATAGCTGGTCAAGGCAGAAGGCAGACGATTTAAATTCAAGTGCTTCTGACTCTAAAACCTCTCTCCGCTCTGTTAAGGAATTTAGACTACACTGATCTCTGAAAAGAGAGCTTCTGGGAGAACAAGACTTGATCCTAAGGAGGGTATTGGCATTTAAATGAAGTTGGTACCCAAGCCTGTGCAACTCAAATCCCAAGATAAAACGTCTAGCTTTGCGGTCCCAGTTCGAATCAGGTAGGGCAATTCATTCAAAGAAGCTAAAATGAAGAGGGAGGGAGCTGCTCAATTTGACTCACTTTGATGTAGACACAACTCCAGAACTGGATTTTTCTTGACTTGAAGAGAAAAAAAAATGTGTTGTTCTCTTTCTCTAACTGGTTCCTTGTCCTAAAGATACATATCTCTTCCTGAATTCTTCCAGTAAAACAGCCTTTTTAGGAATGTGGATCACAGTGCATCTATCTTAATTCTGGGAAAAAAGCTACTTACTTCTTAATGACATATCAAAGTGAGCAGGTTAAATAATACCATACGTTTAATGGGATGAAATAAACAATCATGACTCATGCCTTCTCTCCCATTCAGTGTTTGTCGAGAGTATATTTGTGCGATCCACTTCTTTTATTTTTTATGCGGGGGTGGGTATGTAAAGAGAGAAATTAAATGAGGACCGCTTCCTTCTCTCCAAGAGCTGCATGCGGCATAGGTCAGATACATAGAAAAGTAATTCCGTTATATCAGATGCTAAGGATTCAGTGCTCCATGGAAAATAAGGGTGCGGTATAATTGTGTCCCCCCCCATGCTCTTTCCAGCAGAAAGTTTAAATGAAAAGAATACCTGCTGGCCAAGTATGCCCAAGAATGGACAATAAGACTAGGAAGATGGCAGTGCCCATCCCAGGGTGAAGCAGAGACCTGCATCATCATCTTTTTTGCTGGATGAGAAGATTGTGATTCAGACAGAATCAGAGCCTTTGCTCACATGCAGATTTCAAAAGATGGCGGAGATTTTGTTTAGAGTTCAGGCTGTTGCATGGTTCTCCTCTCAGGCTTTGCTTTTGTTCTAGTTTTTTCCTTTCCCTTTTTCTTCCTTCTTGATTGAGATGAAGGCAAGTCATGCACATCTGCCATCAGAAATGGTTCATTTTGTGTGAAGTGAAAGTGACCTCTTGACACCAAAATGGCTTAAGTCTTTTTCCGATTGGAAATGGAGAGGGTGACAATTTATGTTGGTGTGCGATGTAACGCAGCATTATAATATGAGCTTTCAATTCAACCGGTCGGGTTTTCATATACAAATTCCACCATGTACTTAATCACTTAATATTTGAAAGACTCAGTTTCCTCATCTGAAAATAAAAAGATACCTACCCTCTGTTAAGCAGATCAAATGAAAGAAGATACATAAACAAGTAACACAAAACCTAACGTATGTGGAGTGCTCAATAAAAGGTAACTCATATTATTAATTTTGGCGTTATGATAGTTACATTGTATTAATCACATCGAAGAACCAAGTGACTCTTATAAACGGAGCTACTCACAGAGCAAGTGAAATAATCCCCCTCAGTATTTTCAAGCCCATGGACTTTGTAACTTCTTCACATGAACACTAAGCATTTTGAAGATTTTATGGTTCATCATAGGGTACCATGGGGCGTCACCATAATTACATCACAATGCAGCACCCCTTCATGACTCACTCACAGCATTCTGGAATATGTGCATGAGAAGGAAACCAACTCCGTGCCATGTAGGATACTTTACATTCTGCATGCTTAGCTGAGACAAGGAGGAACAATTTCAAGAAATTCAAGTAGTGAAGCTATTCTTCTTTATCTTGAAATATTGAGGTTCCCACACCTACTAATAGGTTAAGGGCAGCCCTGTGGGCAAATGCTCCTAGCCAGCCATTCACTTTGATGACTTGTATCTGGATCCTGATAATATTTTATATGTACAGTGAAAACAAATTCACTTTGACTCTGCTAGAAGGTGTGCTCTAGAACCAAAGAATAACTATGTGTTTGTTCGTATAATTGATCTTGAGTTTTTATAGAGAGGGCAGGTCTGAGTAAGTATTACTTCATGGTCATTTTAATGAGTCAACACATGAAACCCTAAACTTAAGACCTTAAAACCCTAAAATTACATTCCCTATATTAACAAATACACTAGTTCCATTTAGGTATCATTTTCTACTTTTCACCTTAGAATTTATCCATGCTAAAGATATGTAATTTCTACTTTCTTCAAAAACAGGCCTTACGTGAATTTGATTGTTGGATCCCTTGACATACTAGTAAAATTACTTGCCTTTTAAAACCTTAACATGATGGGTTTTGCAGAATGCAGTAACTAGCAGACCGGACTGAAGGCAGCAGATAATTTGACACAATAGAAACTAAGTCAATGTCTCGTGCAACTAACTGCATTTATACATGTGAAAAATGAATCCTAGGTTGTTCATTTACTCATCAAATATATTTTGAGAACTAGATGTTTTTCTAGGCACTGGGGACAAAACTTTAAGTCATAATGTCCTTGCTTTTAAGGACCTTGCATTCTATTTAGGAGAAACATATAATAAACAAGGACACTATACATAAAATAATTGTAGGTAGTGAAGTGCTAGAAAGCAAATAAAATATGTGATCTAGAGGACTTGGGGTGGTACAGGAAGACAATAAAAGGAAATTTAAGGTAGCCCTTATACTTAAGTAGTTCACGTGTTCTCTCTAGAGGAAACAGAGGACAGGATAAAATGGAGAGGGCTATCTTTTTTGCATAATAATAACTCTGGAAAGCAGAGATAGGCATAGATAGGAATGAAGGATAGATATTGGCATAGACCGGGAGAAAGAGGGATGCTTGAATGGACCTTCAAAAATATGGAGGACTCCAGGACATTGCACAAGAATTCATTCCACTAGTCACTTCTCAGACCACCGCCCCCCCCCACAAAGCCCTGCTGACCAGAGTTCTCTAGCTCTCTAGAATCACCTGAGAACTTTTTCTAAAGGTATACTCCATCCTCCTCCTTGATTCAGTACGTTTGGTGTGGGGTCCAGGACTGCGTATTTTTTAAAGAGAACTTTCAAGAAAATTCTGATGTGCACCTCTGATTAACAGCTACTCTTGAGGTGCCTGGGTGGCTCAATCAGTTAAGCATCTGCCTTCAGCTCAGGTCTTGATCTCAGGGTCCTGTGATGGAGCCCATCAATGGGAAGCCTGCTTCTCCCTCTCCCTCTGCCCCTCCCTGCCATTCTCTCTCTCACTCCCTCCCTCTCTCAAATAAATAAATAAAATCTTAAAAAAAAAAAGAACTACTCCACTAGGGGATACATAAGTGAAAAAGGCCAAGGTACATTCAGAGAGATTGTAAACTGGTGGGACTACATGCTCATGTATATGGAAATTTTACTGAAAATGTGAAGGACGGAGAAATGAATTTCAACAAGAAGCATATGACTAAGTGTAATGAAGACATTTATCTCTGAGGAACTCATGTTACAAAAGGATTCAAATACAATTCCTTTAAATATGAAACTAGTGAGATAAAAATACATCTGAATATATGAAAAAGAAAAAATCCACTTTGCATATTATTTTCAGAAACCAATTTGTCACATAAATGGAATCATATCTATAACAAATTGTTTGTAGAATCTCACTACCTCTGGTCTGAATGTAGTAAGATCAGAAAACAGGATGTCAGCAACCATCGTACACTGAATTAGGAAGCATGCGAAATTTTAGTATTCTATTAATTCTTTATGAATTTAGGATTTCAGATTAATATTTGGCACTTTTTTATTTCAGAAATTAATAAATCGGAGTCAGATGGTTGAAGTAGAGTACTATGAAATATTTTTATGGACTACCAATTATAGTCATTAAATAATTATATCCTTAATTTTTTTAGCTATTTCTAAAAATGTTTTACATGTGCTTAATGTTTATTAATGCTTTCTTTTTTAAATTTTCTTATATTTTATTTTATAATTTATCCTTTGAGTTATTGTACATTCAGTATTTTTCATAGCTGCTGAATATTACTAATTGCCCTATTGTTACTTAAAAATGGACAACATATGCATACCTCTAAGAATTACATGATCCTATTATCAATGATCCATAGTTAATGTATTCTTATGAATACATTATGAATACATTTATTAATTTAAATAGTCTATTTAGATGTTCCTATATTTTTAGCAAAGCTGGGCTATAGTATGTATAAATTTTGTTCTATTTTCCCATGAACACAATAAGCTTTTGTTTCAAGTTCAATAAGAATAGCCACTTTTAAATTTCATAGGTGAAGAAATTACTAATTAGTTGAATAAACCACTCCTGTACAGTCTGCCCTAGGTAGGGATAGGTTAAGCCACAGAGAAACTGGCCTTCCGAAGCCATGCTTCCCAGAGTTCTCTGCATGTGTGAGCCGAAATTACACAGCCAGATTAAAAAACAGAAAATTTTAAGTTCATATGGAAAAGAACAGACACATGTAGAACTCATAGAAAAAGATGAATTTAAAATACAGTTATAAATTTTATAAA